CCTGACTAGACCAGACTTGGCGTATGCGGTTCAGCAGGTGTGCCTCTTCATGCATGACCCGCGCGAGCCCCACATGGCCCTGATCAAGCGCATCCTGCGCTATGTGAAGGGCACGCTCTCCTCCGGACTTCACATCGGCACCGGCTCTGTTTAGTCTCTGACTGCCTACTCCGACGCCGACTGGGCTGGCTGCCCGGACTCTCGACGCTCCACCTCCGGCTTCTGTGTCTACCTCGGCGACAATCTGGTGTCTTGGTCCTCCAAGCGCCAGACCACGGTGTCTCGTTCCAGTGCTGAGGCGGAGTATCGTGTTGTGGCTCATGCTGTGGCCGAATGTTGCTGGCTGTGCCAACTTCTCCAGGAGCTTCATGTCCCGCTCGCTTCGGCCACTGTTGTCTACTGTGACAACGTGAGTGCTGTCTACATGACAGCCGACCCGGTGCATCATCGGCACACGAAGCACATCGAGATTGACATCCACTTCATCCATGAGAAGGTGGCCTTGGGTGAGGTCCAGGTCCTCCTTGAGCCATCCTCTCACCAGTTCGCGGACATCATGACGAAGGGCCTTCCGACTCCGTTGTTCACTGAGTTTAGGTCTAGTCTTTGTGTCCGTGATCCTCCCGCTACGACTGCGGGTGGGTATTAGGAAGTATATATGTGTATTAGGAAGTTCTTTATTCCTTCCATGTACACCTGATTGTATTCCTTATACTACAAGCCTGATTGGCTATATAATAGAGGTCACCCCTCATTAGGGGTGTGGTGTTTCCCAATCTTCTCTACACAAAGGCCTTGAGGTCTCTGATAAATCTATAGTTTCCAATGAAAGGAGCAGTATGGAATATTAGAGGCCTCAATAAAAGAGGCAAACTTCAGTGCATTACTAATTTTATTGTTGATAACAGATTGGATTTTGTTAGTTTTCAAGAAACAAAAAAAGAATCTTTTGAAGATTCCTTTCTTACGTATGCTAATAAGGATTTCTACTGGCATCACTTACCTGCTGCTGGTACTGCAGGGGGCATTTTAGTCGGTTTATGTTCTAGGAAGTTTGAGATTCTTGCTTGGCAAAACTCTGTGTATTCTGTGTCGGCTATGATTAAAAATTCTGATGATAAATCTGTTTGGAGATTTATAAGTGTATATGGTTCTGCATATGAGGAGGGAAAGCAGGAGTTTATTGATGAACTCCATTCACTTCTGAATAATTGGGATGGTCCTACCCTTATAGGGGGTGATTTTAATTTGGTAGCTAGTGCTAAGGAGAAGAGCAATGGAGTTATTAATCATAAATGGGTTGATTTGTTCCAAGATTGGATTCAGAGTTTTGGTTTATTAGAATTGAAAAATTATTCCAGATCCTATACCTGGACAAATAATCAGGAGCAGCCAATTATGGCAGCCTTAGAAAAACTCTTATGTAATAGTGGCTTTGAACAAAAGTACCCTAGAGCTTTTGTAACTGCCAAATCTAGGGCTGGTAGTGATCATGTCCCGCTTATTTTAGACTTTGGCATTGATTCTGTTAGGAAACCTACCTTGTTTCGATTTGAAAAATGGTGGCTTGAGCAACCAGATTTCAAACAATTAGTTGCTAAGATTTGGAATACTGAGTGTGCTTTCCAAGATGCTCTGGACATCTGGCAATTTAAAATTAGGCTGCTTAGGAAGAAAGTGAAGGGCTGGGCTATTAATATTAATGCTGATATTAAGAGGAAGAAGAAAGAACTTCTTGAGGAGTTTGATAGCTTAGATACAAAGTATGAATCCGGTTCCCTGCTGCCAGGAGAAAAGATGAAGATGGATGACATAATGAGGGATTTAGAAAAAATTTGGAGTTTAGAGGAGATTAAAGCAAGACAAAGGTCAAGGGATAGAAATGTTCAGGAAGGTGATAGGAACACAGCTTATTTTCAGGCTGTGGCGAACCAAAGAGCGAGGAAGAAGAGAATTTCTGTCCTAGAGGGTCCTGATGGCCCTCTGGAGGACACCAAAGACATGCTTAGCCATGCGGTAGACTTCTATAAGAATTTATTTGGGGAAGAGGAAGATTTGGGGGTTCACCTAGGTGAGAATTTTTGGGAGGATGATAAAATCTCTATGCATAGAATCGGAATCACTCTTTTTTAGGAACTTAGCAGGTCGCTTCTGTTCTCTATACTTTATTTTCCTTACTATTCTCCTAAGTCATGAAATCTCATCCCACGATATAAGTCTTGCTCGCGACTCCCACGAGATCTTGCTCGCGACCGAATGAGTAAGGTAAGAAGCTGCTTTGCTCAATGAGTTTCTTGAGGCTCCCTTCTCTGAAGAAGAGATTAGGGCTGCTGTTTTTGAATCATATGCAGAAGGGGCACCTGGCCCTGATGGCTTCTCTTTCCTCTTCTACCAGACTTTTTGGGATATTATCAAGTTTGATTTTATGAGGTTAGTGAGAGATTTTGAGTCTGGGCTGCTGAATTTAGATAGGCTCAACTCTGCCATGATCACCTTGATACCTAAAGAGCCTGATGCTACACACCTCAAGAAGTTTAGGCCTATTCGTCTTATTAATTGTAGTTTCAAAATCTTTGCGAAGGCTCTGAACAATAGGCTGATCAAGGTGGCAGATAGGTTGACATGTCCAAATCAAACAGCCTTCATAAAAGGCAGATTTATCTTGGAAAGTGTGGTGGCAGCTCATGAAATTATCCATGAGATTCATAGGAATAAAGAAAGTGGGATTATTCTCAAACTAGATTATGAAAAAGCTTACGATAGGGTTAGTTGGACGTTTATTGAAGACATGCTGATTTCTAGAGGCTTTGGAGCCAAATGGAGAGGTTGGATGAAGAAAGTGATTCAAGGGGGTTCCATTTGTATTAGAATAAATGATGAAAACAGTTGTTTCTTTAAACCGGGAAAATGATTTAGACAAGGGGATCCTTTATCCCCCCTTATGTTTAATTTGGTTGCTGACATTTTCACTAGGATGCTGCTTAAAGCTGCTAGGCACAATCTTATCTCTGGGCTTTTACCTAGAGCTGTGGATGGTGGAGTTATCAGTCTGCAATATGCAGATGATACTCTCCTCTTTTTGGAAGACAATCTAGATACAGCTAACAATCTGAAATGGTTGCTTATCTGTTATGAGAAAATGACTGGGATGAAAATTAACTATGATAAAAGTGATCTTTTAACTATTGGTGTGGAGGAAGAGAGAGTGAATGAGTTGGCTAAAGTCTTCTGTTGTAAAACAGGGGACTTTCCTATTAAATATTTGGGGGTGCCATTACATTTTACAAAACTCAGGAGAGAGGATCTCCAACCTGTGATTGATAAAATCATTAAGAGAATTTCAGGGTGGAAAGGGAGACTCTTATCCTATGCTGGTAGGCTGACTTTGTTAAAAGCTTGTTTAGCAAGCATTCCTATCTACTTAATGTCTATAATTAAGTTTCCAAAGTGGGCTGTAAACATGATCAACTCCCATATGGCTCGGTTTCTGTGGAATAATAATGAGGACAAGCATAAATACCATCTTGCCCATTGGCAGTTAGTTGCTCAAAAGAAGGAGTTGGGAGGTTTAGGTATTCCTGACTTAAGGAACTTAAATCTGTCTTTGCTTAGCTCATGGATCTTCCGATATGGGTTGAATAAAAATGCTATTTGGACTAAAATTTCAGATTTTAAGTACAAAACTGATCAACCTAATATCTGCAGCCCTCTGGGTAACCAGCTGTCCCCTTTTTGGAAAGGTGTGACCTGGGCTTTGCAAGCAGCTCATATGGGAATTATGTGGAAAGTTGGGGATGGGAAGAAAATCAGATTTTGGGAGGATCATTGGTTCGGGAATTCTAGCCTGGCCATCCAGTTTTGGCCTCTTTATGTGATCTGTGAGCAGCAAGGTAAGACCATTAATCAGGTCTGGAATGGTGAAGATTTAATGTTTGACTTTTAGGAGGTCTGTCTCTGATCGGCTTATGAACTTGTGGTATGAACTGGTTAGTATTGTAGAAGATGTGCAGCTAAATGATGATGATGATCAGATCATTTGGAGTTTTAGTTCCAATGGAAAGTTCTCGGTTCAGTCGTTATATGCTGTTATTAATCACCGTGGGGTTAAACCTGTGTTTGTTCATGCCGTTTGGAAATTAAAAATCCCACCTAGAGTTCAAATTTTCTTATGGTTACTCTCTAAAAATAAATTGCTCACAAGAGATAACCTAGCTAAGAGGAGGGAGGTGTCTGATAAGACTTGTTTGTTCTGCTCTGAAGCAGAGTCTACTCACCACCTGTTCTTTGATTGCTGTGTGGCAAAAGCTCTTTGGGCTATTCTTGCTGAAAATATTGGTATGAGTGGTGATTGGTCTTATGAGTTTGTAGCCACTTTTTGGTTAACTAACAAGAAACATTTGCTGACAAATGTTATCTTTGCTGCGGCTTTGTGGTGCTTATGGAAGTCTCGGAATAAGTTGTGCTTTCAGGGTGCGATCTGGTCAGGAATGAAGGAGTTGGTGCTGTGGACAACCAAGACTCTGAGAAGATGGAAGCCATTGCTCGCGGAGGCGGATGGGGAGAAGCTGGACCAGATAGTACAGAAGATGGAGTTGGAAGCTGCATGCCCCCCAAGAATCTGCTGGAGTCCGTCAAGGCAACCAATATCGGGATCACATCCTTCGGCTTCAGACTTCATCGCTGTGACTCCACCGAGCTGTGAACCTGTGCTGTTTGCGGATGCTGAAAACGATTCGGATTTTTGACCATATAGGTCTTTGAGGTGGGAGCGCCGTTACGCTGTGCTGTAATGACTATGACGCTTTATGTTCAATAAAGCAGGGGAAACCTTTTCTCTAAAAAAAAATAGCAAACAGAAATTGGGCAGATCATAGCAAATTAGAAGAACTAGTTACAATAGGCTGGCTCAAAAAAGGCAAAATGTGATGCAACAGAATCAATTTGCATAAGCTAAAACAACCTACCTATGAACAGCAACAATAAGGTAGAAGATGCATTACTTGCATATGCTTGTAGACTGAAAAGTTGTAGCTCAAGCTATAGGCATTAACATTCATTAGGCTGTTGAAGACGTAGGTATTTGGAGTAATCTTATCAGCGAGCAGCCCCTGCATATGATTCACATGTATGATATATGAGTGAAGTCTGGAACCACCTGAGTATTAGAGCACATGTCTACAGCAGGTGAACAGAAGGTAGCTTAGTTGGATAAAATTTGCGTATTCCTCTTTGAGAGAGAGAGAGAGAGAGAACTTTAACGAATAAGGGATTTATTTCGATGTTTCATAATTGGCAAATGACTACAAAGCTATCCCTTTTAGAGACACCTTATTAATTTTAAGTGTACGAAACTCTCTAAACTTAGGGAACCTATTTCTAATTCAATGAATATATCTACAAATGTAAAGAAGCAAACTCAGCTAACAATTAAATTAACTGTAGTCAATGAGGGATATCAAGTACCTCAAATATAATTCGAGCCTGTACAGAAGAGCCACAATGGCCACATATATCTATTATACTTCGGCATGCAAACATATTGATGCCTCCAAGCTGGTCCTTAAGGGCTCCAAAGACCAATAAAGCATTTTTCAACTCCTTTCTTTTTCCAAAAGCTTCCATGGTATTGCAGAGTAAAAGTTGGGAATTAGGAAATATGCGTGCATACCTACATGTCAAAAAACAATGCATTGCAGGTATCAAGATTGATGGAAAGAGTATGAAATTTTAACAAATCCCAAGAGTATGATACAAGGATGAAATCCACGTAGTGCATAAAGCTTAAATCTCCCGCAAGAAACATGCCATGCTAACACTAACATCCTTGAAGTAATCATCATATATTTAGTTGACAGAATTCAAGACATGTTAAATAAAGATGTGGTAAGTATGACCACCTTATAGCTATATCTGGGTCACGCTGCTTGACAAATATTTTCAGTACATCCATGGGGTTCACAATGCCTTGAACAAAGAATCCATACCCTAAAAAAATAATAGATCAAAGCAAAACATTATCAACAATTCAAGATTTAATGAATTGCCATCTAAAGCATGGGTAGGGGAGAATTGATAGCAAAAAAAGGTATTCCCTCCATTCCAAATTATAAGATGTTTTGGCTTTTCTAGATAGATTGCTTTTACTATGTATCTAGACATAGTGTATATCTAAGTGCATAGCAAAAGCTATGTATCTAGAAAACCCAAAACGTTTTATAGTTTGGAATGGAGGGAATACACATGAAGAGTGTTGCCAACTAAACAGGATGTACAGCAATGAAGACTTTCAGCAAACAAAATATAAGAAAATAGTATGTTGGTAACATGCAGACGAATGCACATCATCAGTAATTATGCCAACGATACATTGTACAATAATCAAACGCAGAATTCCAGAACGTAAACAGCACTATATAGCAAGCAAATACCTGCTAGTTATGTTTGTCTGCATCTCCAAGTCATTAAGAGTCACAACATGTTTATCCTTAGCAGTAGTGCTGCCAAGTTCTAATAAGTTCTGGAGAAACTAAAAAGAGAAGGGCGCATGCTTACATTTAAAGCAGGATTTATGCAATATGTACATGAAAAAATGACATCCTGAGCAACAAAAATGAGATGTATCGTCTCACCAATTAAACAGGTAACCAGGTAGAAACCATGAGTCAACTGGTAGCTGGTGATGATATCAAACAGATCGATTATCTCGCTGAAATTAGCATCCTGACTGCAGTCTTAATACTGACATGCCAGTTCGTGCATGAAAACTACTAAACCACCTAAACCATTAAATAAACTAAAGAGATTGATGCATCTAGCATGTACTACTACTGATTAGAAATTTGAGAGATGATCATCAGTGCATAAAGCTACATTAGCGAACCAGCTGAAGCATAGACTTCATGCCAACGTTATGATATGACATATATTGGGGGGACGCGACGACCTCCACGCTCGTCGTCTCGGAAGAACTCGAGCAGGCGCCGGCGAAGCGGCGGAGTCCGCGCATCTCGACTGCGGGGACGCGCACGCGCTCGGCGTCTCGGAAGAACTCGAGCACGAAGGGCAGTCCGCGCTCGCGGACAGCGGCGGCGACGCCGCGCGACAGGAGACGGGCGCTGATGCGCGCCGCGAAGCTGGGTTCGTCGCCCGCGGCTGCGCGGAGGCCCTCGGCGGCGAGGAGGAAATCGCGGAGGCGGCCGGCGCCCGCGAGGCTGGATGCGACGCGGGCGTAGTACTTGATGGCGGCGGGGTCGCGGCCGACGCCGACGTCGGAGAGGAGGGGGAGGGCCTTGGCCCTGGGTTTGGGTTTAGGTTTGGGGTTGGCATTGGGGGTGGGGGTGGCGGGTTGCGAGCGACGAAGGCGGCGGTGGGAAGGGGACGGTGGCTGCGGGGACGAGGAGGTCATGGCCAAGGCCATGGCGGGGGAGTGGGACTGTGGGAGTGGAGATGGAAGCGACGCGTCTCCAAGCGTGGTGGGTTTTTGGGTGGCGCGGATTTTATTCGTTTGGATAGAAAGCTGACTGTGTGGAGTGGAGTTGATACTATTTTTAAAAGAATTTACTCAGAATTAAATAATTTAATTCCAAAGATATCTAGAAATGTTTTTTATAGAGGTGGTAATAAAAAAGCAATGAAACAAAAGAGCACAAAAGGTGTTCTAGAATCGCGAGACGTGAGTTAAAATTGAGGAGTATGACATATTTGGTCATGTTCTACTAGTCACCTAGTACGAGCAATTGAAACTCGTCCGTCAAGTGAGCCATTTTGGCTCTCTCCCGTGAGCAAGCAAAATATCAACTGCATGAACTTAGAAGTGTTTGGCAAGGAAACCAAACACATGACCTCGCTTAGAATCTTCGTTGGGGAAGGCAATACAGTAACCAGCAAATAAACTAAACATGCCCTTACTCATCAGTAGCTAGCAATTGGTGATTTTAGATGACATTTTCATTTCATACTACATGGATGTCTTGTGAAAGTTGTTCTGTTGTTGAATCTTTCAACCACAAGTCCATATATTACTTTCCAAACTTTCTTTAAATTTTTATGTTTGAATTCTCAGTTTTAAGGTGAAAGTGATATATAGTTTAAACTTTCAAGTTAAAGCTGCTCCACCCATTTTTCACAGCCGTTTAGTAGCATGTTTTTTATTAATATAGGATTTATCTTTCTATGATATTGGATTGAAATTCGAAGCTGCTACTAAGGACACCCACAATGGTTAGAGCTAGTTACTGCTCTAAACCAACTTCTACAATAATGCTAACTTTTAGCGCATAGCTTTTAACATGCTAGCTCCACATAAGCTTAGCTCTTAATTAAGGGCTAGCTTTTCTCTCTCTTCCATTAAAATATGAGAAAATGTTTAAAGCTAGCTTAAAAGCCGATTGTTGGAGCTGCCCCAAGCAACATAAATTCAAAGTTGAACGTGGCTACGGGCGTGTTTGGCTGGTGTCGACAAAAGCCGCTTGTGCTAATTTGTACAGCTGATTTGTTGGGAGAGAAAAATATTGTACTATGACTGATAAGTTGGCTTGTAAGCCGGTTTATTAGAGCAGCCGCACACGCCGTACAATGATAGCTTTTTTGTTCTCTTATCATTTTAAATGGCACAGATAAATTAGAATAATCGCGGAGCTTGGAAGATCCTATGTTAGACTAGAATGTTTGAGGAGTGTAATAAGGAAGGGGATGGTTAGTAATTAAGAAGTTGTTGGTTCTAACATGAGGATATGCTGCTAGTGAATCAGTCTGTTCGTTCGTTTGGCTGTGGCTTATCGTAAACGATCGTAAATTTTCAGCTGAAATAATATTTTTCTCTCGTACAAACCAGCCAGGCAGTATTTTTTCGCTAACCGAACAGACTGAATGGATGTGGATCAAAGAAATTTCGAGCAAGACAATTAATGTTGCCAAATTTTAGCAGCCTTTCGCAGCTTCCTACCTTCCCAATTTCCCATTTGAAAAATAACGAACTGCAGTTTTCCCTGCACTAGCGTTTCCCAAGGCGTAACGGACGGTTCTCTCGTGCAATGAGAGCCACATGCTGCGAGCTGCGGCAGTGTGCGCAGTATGACTCGTCTCGCTCCTTTCGTTTACGCAAGCGCAAGTGCGCAACCTGCTCCTCTCGCTGTCTCCAGATCCCCTGCTACGCCGCCGCCTCCGCCTACCGCCACCAGTCTCCCTCCCCTGCAACCGGGATAAGAGGAAAAGAATCCGCGCGGCGAAAGGAACAGGAGGACATGAGTGAAAAAAGAATCTCCGATCGGGAGTCCTGCCAGGCTGATAGAATCTTGGCAGCCATGGATATGCTATGTTCCGGGAGATTCTTGGCACGACGGACTCCCCTCGTGCTCGTCCCTCGCTGCTCTCGAGGCTCCCCGGACAAAAGCGGCAGCGACAAAGGTAAGCGATCTGATGGTTCATGGCTTTGGCTGTCAAGTTCCTTGCTGCCACCGTTAGGTGTTCGGTAAAATGCTGCAGTGGATTGCTTGACTAGTGCCGATGTCAGTCAGGGTTTGTGATTGATGCGTGAGTATGGCCACTCCAGTGAGATACAGTACGGGTTTAAATTGCCCAGTCATCACATCAGGAATTCAGGATGCAACTGCCTGCTTTCCTCGTTTAGGTTGATGTGATCTGTTTACTTTGATCGGGAAGGGCTTTGTGTGCTAAGAGCCTAAGATTGAGCTGGAATGTTTGCTTCCATCAATTTCAAGAGGGCACTGGTTTTGGCGGTTGTCTGCGACCTTAAGCCAACGTGTGTATACATTTGGGTTCGACGTAAACAAATGTATTAATGAGAGAAAAAAATCAACGATGCACCAATTATGTAGATTGTCCTTGTGTTGGCATTCATTTGCCTCTCTGAGTGAGGTTTACAATGCGCAATCCAGTAGTTAGGTCCAGACTAATTGTAGCCATTTTTTAGTCCATGTGTCTTTGACACGATGCAAATTTTCCAGCACTGTGATGGCTTCAAAGAAGAGAAATCAGTGTTTCTGCCTTCTAGAGATTTCCACACTCAAATTTGCTTTATTTTTCGTGTACCTAATCCATTTATGCCAAAAAGATACTAATCACTGGACTCTGAGTAGTCAATATTTGGCTTTGATGTTGCTTATCCATACATTTGCAATGGTGGATAGTAGGTGATGAATTATGAATTTCCATCTTATAGTTGTTTTTGAAAAGTTTGTTCTACATTATGATACAAGGTTATGCATGATCTGAGAACCACTTATGGTCAGAATTTTGTTGTTGTACTGCCTATGGAATATAATTTGTTAGAGGAACCCTTGCTAATTCAGTTAAGATTATGCCATGATAGCTTTAAAAAATTCTTTCAACTAATTGTTGTATCTAAGAGAAGAAAACGCAGGCTTTTGAAAAGCCATATCAATTTGAACAGAGCCTAATAGTTGTTGTTTTTTTTTTTTTTTTGCGAAAGAGAGCCTAATAGGTTTAATGTTAGTGTCGAAGCTATAAGATCATAGAATGGATAAATGGGGAAATGCATTAGCAGAACACACTACACAGGTATCATGCAATGCAACTTTTGTTCTCTTCTGGAAGGGAAACAATAGAAGAGCAAACTAGTATCCTAATGTTTTATGTATTGATAAAATAGTATTTTAAAAAGGTTATTTGCAAGTCCCTCCTGAAGGAAAACAGAAAAAAGGAAATCAGTTACTTTTTTAGTTCATCAATCAGTCCAGGTTTCCTTCCCTTTGCTCTGCAAAGAAGGTTAATTATATTGCTGTATCTTGAAAAATTGCCAACACCAATTCCTATGTACAGCAAGCATATAATAAAATAATAGTAGATGACCTGGGGCTCTCCTGCAAAACAAAATTCTAACCGCAGATAGCTTGCAAGGAGAGGATGGACCACTGTTCTAATTCTCAAACTTTGCTTCCAACAACCCGAAAACACAAATGATATTACTTTATATCGTTCCTTTGCACAGGATGTTTGGACAAAATTTAACTGGATGTACATGGCTAGCTGTAGCCCTAGTCTGCAATTGCAAAAGGTCTCCTAGAAAAGTGGTAGTAGTGGATTCTAGTGTTAGTTCCAGTGGAAAGGAGAAAGGAAGCGAGTGGCATCGTTGTCTACACATTGTGAAACTGTTGGAATAAACCAAACCATAAAGTGTTTCAAAAATCAAATCTGACAACCAGATAGCATCCACTACTTCATCAGGGAGGATAATGCTCAAAGAAAGTTAGCATTAGGAGATTACACCTTTTGTATAGATTTTGATCGTTGTTTAGATCTTCTGATGTGACCCACTGTAACTTTTAGACTTCTCACTTTCCTTTTTGATTAAGATGCATGGCACCGTTCCTGCCTTCCTTTATAAACAAGAAAAAAAATATGCACTTATATCTGTTCATAGTTAGTTTATTTTAGATACTGTTATGAAGGTAGCAATAACCATGTCTTTTCTTACTCGTCAGGTGAAACCTCTACTGACTGGGACAAGGCATGGGCTACGTTTAAGAAGAAAGGGAAGAGGACCCTCTTTTCTGTTTTCTCACCAGACAAGTATGTGACCTGGAACCCATGGCGCAGCGAGTATCCATTGTCAGAAGAGGTTGATCCAATCAAGAGAACTGAAAGATCTAACTTGATGCTGTGGACGAGTCCCCAGTTTACCTTGGTGGGGGCGATTATCATCGTCTTGACATTACTAATCTATACACTAGTTGCTCCTCCCAACTCCCAAGTAACTGCAGAAGTGACAGCTAGGAGGTGAGTTGTAAATCAATATTTCAAATGGGAAGTCTGTATTGTACATTCTTACGTGTACTACACCAACTATAGTAGTATTGCTTCAATTGCAATCAAGTAGTATATAACACCACATCCATTCCATTCCGGAGGTTTTCCTCCACTATAACGAAGAAATATTTGGGTCAAGTAGAATAATATGTTGGGTGGTATTCAATAAATCATAATACATGTTGATGCTCCTGATGTAACTTTTGTGCATGTTCTCACTTCTCAGCAACTGCAATGTGTGATCATCGAATATTAGCTGTATTAACAGTGAATGGTAGTTTGTAGTGTTGGGACTATTTGGGCAAGTGGACATGTGCAAAGTATCAATTGGAAACTGATGTACACATGAGAATCATGTTTCTTGTTACAGAAAAGTTGAAGTCAAAAAAGACAGATCATTTTCTTCATACGATTTTTTTAGAGAAATTGTCTTCATACAATAATAAGCCCTAGGCAGACAGGAATCTTGCTTAGATGTAAAGCTATATAACTAACCTTGTTTCATAGGCCCTAAATAATTGGCTTATGTCTCTTGTGTTGGGGGCATCAGGATGGTGTGCTTTAACATCTTGTTGAATATATAATATATAGAGGAAGTGCAAGTCTAAAATAACATATCTGGGATCTCACATGATATTGAAGACTTTGATCGTTACATCTTTATATGCAGCATTTTGGATCAAGTCAAACTTCAGACTTCTCATCCTTCAGGCTTGAACAGTTTCCAAGTTTTGACTCTTGTGGGTTGTTGCAGTATCGGTCTAATAAAAAGAGATTGGTTCGGTTCTGAAATTATGAACCATAATTTTAGCATTCTTAAGATATCAGGCTGTTTAGAGCATCTGGAGTTGGTTGTGTTATCTTCGGTCCTTCACTAATGAAAAAATGTTTACATTTCAGCTGAAAGCAGTGAAGAACATTTAATTTACAATGCTTTTATGAATTATTACCGTGATAATTATTTTTGTCTCATGCTCTTGTTGCTCTTGCATTCCCTTTGATTCCAGACAGTAGCAAACAGAAAATTGGTCCATGCTGATGACCAAGACTTTCTCCCCCTGTGTGAACGGAATAGATGGGTCACAGGGGTAGTGGCTCATTGAATGTGCATTATTGTACAGATTATCTACAGATGTCTTAGTTTATATCTGGTTTTGGGGCACTTGTAAGGTCCATGACTAACAAAGAACCAGATCTGCATAATTCTAGCAGTAGTAATAAATCTCTATTTTCTTCTCTTGTTCTTGTCTGGAGACCAAATCCCATTGCTAGATTTTTATTAATGCTTAGACCATGTACAATCACCATCGGCAGCAATTGGACAGCTGTATTAATGGCATAATTTTCTGTAGCAAGACAGCTGGATTGCTGGTCGCAGAATCTAGCCAGCTGTCGCCAGTCTTTCTAGAAGTTTGTGACGACTCTACCGAAACACTGAAACACCAGTCTGGCTGGTTGAAATTGTTCTTGTAAATCTGATTTGGTCGCTGGTAACCAGCTGAGGTGGCTGAGTATTCCCATATTAGTAGTACTTTTATTAATATGTATTCTTCACATTATACAGCTGTGGCTTGACAGTGCATCCAGATACCATGGAAGTTTTGTCAAGCAGAGGCCAAGCAGCAGACTACTACACACAAGACGGAGTCTTGTCAATGCAGAACAGATTGATACAGTCTTTCTGAACTGAACAGTAGAAGTACAAGACAGAGTCTTGCCGCAGTGTATTTCAAGCACTACTAGTGAGGAGCAAGCCCAGAGATATTCTAGAAGTTTTCAAACTTCAGTGAGGGGCTCCTTGCTCCCCAAGGAAGCTTGGCCCCCACTCCTCCCAAATCCCAAACCCCCAGCATCCCCTATTCCCCTCTGCATCTCATCTGCACCCCATCTGCTTTGCGGCTATAAAATGGCAAAGCCTCCGCCTGCCCCCCGTCACTCACTCTGACATCAGACACAACACAACACAGCCACACGGCTCTTCAGTCCCCAAATTCCCGTGCCTTCCTGAGCAAGAAGCAACCCACAGCGACGATGGAGCGGCAGCGGCAGCAGCAAGAGCCGGCGAGGCGGACCATACCGCGGCGCGGGCAGATCAAAGCGCGCATCTTCGCCAGCCTATTCCGGTGCATCGTCCCCAAGGCACCAGCGCGCAAGGAAGGCGGCAAGAACAAAGATGGGAGCAGCCACCGCGGCAAGAACAAAGATGGCAGCAACCACCGCCGCGTTTCCCCCGGTGGCTGATGCGGTTCGAGCGAGGCAAGATAACCGTTCCGTTCGTTCGCTTGATGGCTTCTGGCTGATAAACCCGGCCGGTGCTGGTTGGTTGTGAGAGGAAAACACGGTTGGCTGGCTGATAAGCCCTGACTAAAACCAACAGACGAACAGTCTGAACGGGAGAATCAAGATGTGGGGTTGCGTTACGACGATCCCCGTTGAGAAATGTTGCAGCCTGCAGCGCCGGTCCTTGAACCTGAGGAGAGTCTTCTGTCTTCGGGGGTGGGATCGGGTGGGTGGGGTGTGCACTTCGGGTAAGCTGTATGGGATTCAGAGTTTCGGAGTTCAGACAGGGCAGTGAATAATCTGAATTCGGAAGCTTTCTGAGATCGAATGGAGTCTCTGAACTCCGGCTTCTGCTGGAGTGCTATGTGACTATGTAATGTACGCTCTTGTCTGTGTTCTTTAGCGGTAACTTCAGTGTCTTGGTACATGGGCAAACAAGCTCTTTCCTTTTGAGGTCACCACTGTCTTGTGGATATTACTATTTATTATGTAGTGGTGATGAATTTGTGTTCTGCTCTGCATCACCGCCATCACAGCTGTGTACTCTGTTTCTTTCACTTGAACAAGCATTACTCTTGTTGTTTAATGAATCTTCTTAGTGTTGTTCCTTCTTACCCACGAGGCCACGATGCATATCTCACGTTTCACTTGATGTACTGGTGATGGATTTTCTGTTCTGCTCTGCATTACGGTTGTGTACTCTGTTTCTTTTCACTTGAACAAGCATTACTCTTGAAGGGAAAACCTGAAACTGAAACTATGATTCGAAGAGGCTTGTGCAAGCTCGTTTATGATGATGCTAGTACTTCTCTGATACCTGCGATACGTATCTGAAACATACTCCGTCCATGCCTATCGGATAACCACTGAACACGCTTTTGGATAGAGTAGTTCAGAATTCAGACAGGACGGTGATAATCTGAATTCTGAAGTTTTTGGTGAAAAACGGTGTCAGCTCCGGCATCAGATGGAGTACTTTGTACTCTCTGTTCTGCATTGTGGTTGCGTACTCTATTTCTTCCACTTGAAAAGGCTCTCGTCTAGTAGTCTTCTCGAACCAAACCATGTATGGATACTTAGGGAACCATGATGCGTGCATTCAGAAGTTCGCGTACGGGATACCGATACTTCCCTTACCACAGGCATTGGACAACCGCAAAACCTATAGAATGTAGAGCAGCGAAGCATACATCTTACCATCTTTCTTTTCTCGAATCATCTTACCATCTTTGGCTGTGTGTTTTCCTGTTCCTTTTATGCGGTTATGCACCTCTGCATAGTTCTATGTTCCACATTCCTGTTGTGCCAGTCAGCCAGTGCTTCATGGTGAAGTCTTGCACTGCAAACAGCACCTGCTGATTGGGCCCGACACGGCATCGGCGACTTCGGTGGCGACGACGAATAGACGAGAAAAGTGGCGAGCCTTTTTGGTCCCACGGCCCGACTCGGACTGAAGCAACGGCATATTTGGCGACTTCGTCATCCACACCCTTGCGCCTTTGCGAACGACTCTGCTTTTCTTTTTCGTGGCGTGCGGCGCTTTTGCTCCTCTGAATATCTGATTCCCTTTTGTCTTTTTGTGGGTTATAAGGTGAGGTGAGGTGAGGAACGAACAGAACGTGTCAAGCCCCGGTTGGCTAGAAAACGTGGTGGATTCTTACTCGTTGTGATGATTTATCTGGGTTTTCGTTAATACTCCCTCCATTATCTTTCATTGAGGGAGTAACCATGATGCATGAAGCGTTTTCAGATTCGTTCAACTTTTTACCAAGAGTAGCAAATTTGCTCACGTTGCAATTGGACATACAACTTTGTTTGCATGCAGTGACGTGTGTGTGTTGGGTTGGGGGGCTATTCAGTATTACCCTAACACAAGTGTAAAGTGGTCACTAATTATAGGCAGCTGCTGATGCAAGCAAGTAGAGCTAACAAAGAGTAAAGACCAAAGAATACTCCCTCCGTCCTAAACTACAAGATATTTTTTACTTTGAAACATCTCGTTTGATTGTTCGTCTTATTCAATTTTTAATATAAATATTATTTCTTTTGATATGACTTATTTATCATTAGAGAACTTGTATAATGACTTATTTATGTTGTCATTTGCAAAAAAAAATCGAATAAAACAGATGGTCAAACATAATATCTAAAAGTCAAAAGCGTCATCTATTTTGAGACGGGGGAAGTAGTCAATTTGTTATAGGACACTCTTCAATGATGATATTTGTTGATGGACACTACTCAATGTTGTCTTTACTAGAAGACACTTTTCTATTATTGTAATTGACTCCAAGACACTATGGTCATTAAATAATGTTATCTATGAGTATATCGGAGAGAGAAGTTAAAAGTGACAAAAATACTCTCGACTATTACTAGTACAATCGATAATTGTTATCTAAAAGTCCATAACTTTTCATATGAAGTCGGATGAAAACAAAATTCATATCAAAACTGGAGCTCAATGATATCTTCATCAGCCATGTAGCTGATAAGTTTTCTATTTGAAACTATTCAAATTGTCAAAACTTTCTTTTAAATTAATAGATTTTAAATCTAAAAATTTAAAATTATATAATGACTTCATATGTTGACACTGTATATACAAAAGATATAGTTATCAGTAAGTCTATAGCTTTATAGTTGATACATTTTTTTATCTAAAGTCATTCAGAGTCCTAAATATTTATTTTAGTTTCTTAGATTTCGAAATTCAAAGTTTAGAAATTTCAAATGACTTCGAACATTGATACGATCTATCTCGTAGACGTTTGAAAATTTTAAATTTCAAATTTATATAAAATAATAAAATTAATATTTTAGATTCTAAACGACTTTGGATTTTCTAAATTTTGAATTTGAAAAGCTAAGAATTTTAAAACAACCTTTTCTACTCTAAATATTTTTTATAAAAACATGTCAACTACAAAGTTGTTGATCTTACTAAGCACTTGTAACAGAACCGACCAATTATACGAAATTAAGTGAGAAAATCATCCGCCAGGGCAGACGATTTAGCAAACTTAAGCCCGTATAACCCGGTAGTCCGTGAAATCACGAAGGATTTCAAACCAACTTCCATTCCAGCCAAGATCGTAATAAGTTTAGCGGTCACCATCACATATTACATAAAAGTTCTCAAGCTCAGATACATCAGAGTTTAAACATAGTTATTACAAAACCAGTTCGAATAAAAGTAGCGGAAGCCAATTGTTCAACCACACACACTCACGCGGAGTTCAAATATAGTGCCAGCGAATGATCATCTCCAACAAAAGCATTAGACGAGACGTAAGGAATGACCATGTCCATGGTCCTAAGCATCACCCATCGCAGGATAAAGGCAGTTGATACAATAGCCGTAATACATCTGCCCATCTGCAACAAGTGGGAATAAAACCCTGAGTACGAGAAGGTACTCAGCTAGACTTACCCGACATAACTGAAAATAAATGACACCAAGGATTATGAAGGCTTTATAGTAGGGTAGCTGACTCATTTGCAAAAGAAGCATTTTTAGCATTTCAAGAACCTTTCTAAAAGCATTATTGTCAAGTTAATTATTATGAACCTGCCGACTAGATTTGCATCTATACTAGAGTAAACATGTGATTAAGCAGATAATAATAACCACTGATCATTAAACAACTTCCATATTGTCATGTGAATTGCTTTCACTCGACAACATATGTCACATCTGACAACATATGATGTAAGTTCTTTCTTCATTTTGGTCCACCAATAACGAGATCTTAGTTCTTGATACATCTTACTACTCCCGGGATGGATAGATAGCTTAGAAAGGTGAGCTTCATCCATGAGTTTATTCCTAAGCTCTCGATCCTTGGGAACCACAAGACGGTCGTCAAACCACAACACGCCATGTTCATCCACTTTAAAGTGTTGAGACGGCTTTTCTTTTATTTTCTCTTTGATGTGAAATATCCCCTTGTCGGTTTTCTGGCCTTCTATTATCTTACTCTCCAAAGAGCAACTAATCTGAATACTATGTAACACTGCAGGATGCATTAGATCGAACCCATCTTCAAGTAATGGCTGCACATTCAAGTAATGTGACTTTCTGCTCAAAGCATCTGCCACTACATTGGCTTTTCTAGGATGATATTGCACATTCAAGTTGTAATCCTTGATCAATTCCAACCATCTGCGCTGTCTTATGTTTAGCTCTGGTTGGGTAAAGATGTACTTAAGACTCTTGTGATCCGTGAAAATGTTGCACACATTACCCAGTAGATAATGTCTCTAAATTTTTAGGGCGTGCACAACTGCAGCAAGTTCAAGATCATGTGTTGGATAGTTGACCTCGTGCTTTCTCAATTGACGTGAGGCATAAGCAATGACTCTCCTTTCTTGCATAAGAACACATCCTAATCCAGTCTTCGATGCGTCGCAAAACACATCAAATGGTTTCTCGATATCTGATTGTGCTAGAACAGGAGCAGTGGTTAACAGTTTCCGCAAAGTGTGAAAAGCTGCTTCACACTCCTCTGTCCACACAAACTTGTGATCCTTTTGTAGGAGGCTTGTCATCGGCATGGCAATCTTCAAAAAGTCTGGTATAAAGCGACGGTAATAGCCGGCTAATCCTAAGAAACTTCTAATCTTAGGAACTGTGGTCGGTGCTTTCCAATTCATAACTTCTTGCACCGTACTTGGATCGACTGAAACCCCATTCTCTGACAGAATGTGACCAAGGAAAGGAACTTCCTTCAACCAGAATTCGCATTTGCTAAACTTAGCATACAGTTGATGATCTCTAAGTTTGGTCAAGACGGTTCTCAGATGCTCTTCATGATCTTTCTCATTCTCGGAGTACACCAGAATGTCATCGATGAACACTAATACAAACTTATCCAATTCTGGCATGAAAACTGTATTCATCAAAAACATAAAGTATGTAGGAGCATTTGTCAAGCCAAAGGACATGACAAGATACTCAT